GTTTTTCCCCCGTTTCTCTCACCGTTGACAACGCGCTGGGCGCGGAAGCTGCCGCCCAGCTGCTCCCACTCCCACCCCATTTTCCCCCATTTCTCCCCTACTTTTTCCCCATTTTTCCCCATTTTCCCATTTTCCCATTTTTCCCCCATTTCTCACTGTTGACGACGCGCTGGGCGCGGAAGCTCCCCCCCAGCTGGTCCCACTCCAGCAGGGCGCAGGCTCCAGCCGCCGGCTGTGCCAGCGCCACCCCCGGGTGCCCCCCGAGCATGAAGGGCTCGGCCCCGAGCGAGGAGAACGGCAGCGCCTGGAACGGCCGCAGCTCTGCAGACACAGGGACAGTTGGGGACACTTGGGGACAGTTGGGGACATCCCCGGAGACACAGCTGGGGACATGGGGACATCCCTGGGGACAGCTTGGGGACATCCCCGGGTGTCCCCCGAGTGATGGGAATGGCAGCGCCTGGAACGGCCACAGCTCTGTGGACATGGGGACAACTGGGGACATGGGGACAGTTGGGGACATCCCTGGGGATATGGCTGGGGACATGGGGACATCCCTGGGGATGTCCCTGGGGACATGGGGACATCCCCGGGGACATGGGGACATCCCTGGAGACACGGGGACAGCTTGGGGACATCCCTGGGGACACGACTGGGGACACAGGGACAGCCCCAGGCCCTCCCCATCCAATTCCCCCTCCAACACAGAATCCTCCGTCCCAGTCCCTCCCAGTATATCCCAGTATGAACCAGTACAAGCCAGTCCCTTCCCAGTCCATCCATCCCAGTCCAACCCAGCACATCCCAAGTTTGTCCCAGTCCATCCCAGTTTGTCCCAGTTCCCTCCCACTTCTCCCCAGTCCCCCCAGTCTCTTCCCAGTTCCCCCCAGTCCCTCCCAGTCCTTCTGAGTTCCCTCCCAGTATAAACCAGTCCCCCCCAGTTCCCTCCCAGATTGTCCCAATCCCTCCCAGTTTATTCCAATCCACCCAGTCCCTTCCAGTTACCCCCAGTCTCCCCCAGTTCCCTCCCAGTTTGTCCCAGTCCCTCTGAGTCCCCTCCCAATTACTTCCCAGTCCCTCCCAGTCCCTTCTCAGTTCCCTCCCAGTATACACCAGTCCCCCCCAGTTCCCTCCTTGTCCCCCCAGTCCTTCCCAGTATAAACCAGTCCCCCCCAGTTCCTCCCAGTCCATCCCAGTCCCATTTTCCCTCCTAAAATCCCATTTTTACACCTAAAATCCCCTGCATTTTCTCCCCCCAGTCCCTCCCAGTCCGTCCCAGTATAAACCAGTTGCCCCCAATCCCCTCCCAGTCCCCCCCAGTCTCTCCCAGTATATACCAGTTCCCTTCCAGTCCCATTTCCCCCCCCCCCAGAATCCACATTTTTATGCTTAAATTCCCCTGGATTTTGTCCCCCCAGTCCCCCCCAGTTCCCTCCCAATTTGTCCCAGTCCCTCGCAGTTGCTCCCAGTCCCCTCCCAGTCCCTCCCAGTTGCTCCCAGTCCCTCCCAGTTCGTTCCAGTCCCTCCCAGTTTGTCCCTGTTCCCTCCCAGTTTGTACCAGTTTCCTCTCAGTCCCCTCCCAGTCCCTCCCATTCGCAGTCCCTTCCAGTCCTTCCCAGTCCCCTCCCAGTCCCCTCCCAGTCCCTCCCAATCCCTCCCAGTTTCCTCCCAGTCCCTCCCATTCCATCCCAGTCCCCTCCCAGTCCCCTCCCAGTCCCTCCCAGTATAACCCAGTCACCGTGGCGCAGGCACTGGAGCTGCCGGGGCCCGAGCAGGGCCAGGGCGGTGCCCGCGGTGCCGGCGGGGCCGTGGCAGCGAGCGCCGCCCTCAGGGCCGGGCCGGGAGCGCAGCCAGCGCAGCAGCCAGCGCAGCGCGCAGTCACAGCGCAGCGGGTTCCCGCGCAGGTCCCTGGGGACAGGGGACAGAGGGGACAGAGGGGACAGGGACAGAGGGACAGAGGGGACAGCGAGGGGACAGCGAGGGGACAGGGACAGAGGGGACAGGGACAGCGAGGGGACAGAGGGGACAGGGATGGGACAGGGATGGGGACAGGGGACAGGGACACGGACAGGGGACAGGGGACAGAGGGACAGGGGACAGGGAGGGGACAGTGGGACAGAGAGGGGACAGCAGGGACACCATGGGGACACCACGTTGGGGACAGTGGGGACAGCACGGGGACACCGGGGACAGCGTGGGGACAGCACGGGTTGTCACGTTAGGGACACCACATTGGGATCACCGCGTTGGGGACACCAGGGGACACCACAGGGACACCATGGGGTTGGCACATCATGGACACAAGGGTCAGTGTGTTGGGGACACCACAGGGACACCACGCCGGGGACACCGCGTTGGGGACACCACGGGGACAGCGTGGGGACACCATGTTGGGGACACCATGGGTTGGCACGTTGGGGACACCAAGAGTTGGAACGTTGGGGACACCATGGGTTGGCACGTTGGCATGAAAGGGCAGAGAAATGGGGAAGAAAAACAGCAGCAAAATGAGAAAAATGACAAAAAGTGGCACCAAAGTGACAAAAAATGTCACCAGGTGTCACCAGAGTGGCAAAAAGTGGCAGCAAAGTGACAAAAAATGGCACCAGGTGTCACCAGAGCAGCAAAAAGTGGCACCAAAGTGAGAAAAAATGTCACCAGGTGCCACCAGAGCAGCAAAAAGTAGCAGCAAAGTGATAAAAAGTGGCACCAAAGTGACAAAAAGTGGCACCAGGTGTCACCAGAGTGGCAAAAAGTGGCAGCAAAGTGATAAAAATGGCAACAAAATGACAAAAAGTAGCACCAAAATGCAAAAAATGGCACCAAATGGCACCAGAGTGGCACCAAATGGCAGCAAAGTGACAAAAATGGCACCAAATGGCAGCAAAGTGACACCAAAGTGACACTAAATGGTCCCAATGTGACAAAAAATGGCACCAAAGTGGCACTAAAGTGGCAGCGGGTGGCACTGGGGTCACCAGGTGTCACCAGAGCGGCAAAAGGTGGCAGCAAAGTGACAAAAAGTGGCACCGAGTGGCACCAACCCTCCCAACCCCATAATGTCTCCAAATGTCCCCAAATGTCCCCAATGTCTCCAATGTCTCCAAATGTCCCCAAATGTCCCCAATGTCCCCAATCCCCCCAATGTCTCCAAATGTCCCCAATCCCCCCAATGTCCCCTCGATGTCCCCAATGTCCCCAGTGTCCCTGATGTCCCCAATGTC